TCGATTTACAGATACAACGATCTTAAAAATTATTTAATAATATACTTAATAGCTTTAATAATATACAGTATAACCTCGAAGGGCATTTCTAATTTTTATGTTTAAATTAGTCCCGATATAACGAAGCTATTAATAAAGTTTTGATATAATGAAGAAAATCTCTAGTCCTAGTACTTCGTTATATCGAGTTTTTACTGTATATAGATTAGCTGCGAGTATTTAAGTCAGTTCGAGAAGAAAAAGGTATGGCAAAGGCAGAAATGTTTTGAGTGATATATATTTTAATCACTATGGTTGTATGTTTATTAAAAATTATTAATAATTATATACAAAATGGCGATCTTTTTTATTACAAAAAACGTGTATTATGAGTGTGGCCTTTCCAGGTCAATGGCATGGTTTTTTTCCTTCTGTATCTTTCCACCTCTTCGATTATTTTATTAATAGGATCAAAATTTCTTTTTATGTTTCTTGCCCATTGAACATTTTCGGCCGCCTTTTGTTCTTCGAGAAGTGTTAATGTCTTCGTTGTTAAGGTAATCAACTAATTATAAATTTCATCTCCATTGTCATCTACATCATCATTAATATATTCAATATTCTCACATGAAGTAACTAATACTGGTAAGACTTTGTTAGGATCTTGATCGTGTTCAGTTAAAAATGGAGGCTGATGATTTCTTTTTATTCGATCAAAAAATTCACTTGGAACTGGCTCTTTTTTTTGGACCAAATGTTTGCAAATACCAAACCGGCTAGTTAAATAATATGGACATCCACATATCCATTGATCCACATTTATTACATAGGTCTCATTAATAGCGCGAGTTGATAGCCTTTTCCATTCAGACTTGAACTCTTTTACCCATCCAGGCCTTTCTCTTCTGAGATAAATTTGTTGTAATTTTCGAAGCTGATGGATAATTACCTTTGATATTATAATGTATACCTCTAAATCAAGACGTGGTCAGAAGAACTTATAGAGGAAGTCTCTTTTTATGACCTTCCAATGCCCCTCTACAAACATGGTTGTCCTGAGAATAGATATTTTAGTTTCACACACGGATCTGGCCCATAATTGCCATTATTGATCATTATACTATTCACTCCAAAGATAACACCAAAGTGAAATCAATGAGTTTGTTTTGCAAAAGGTATACATTTCTTGAATTGCTGCTTCACGAATTGCTTCTTTAGTAATAAAATTTTCATTATGAGTAGGAATTAAGGGATGTTGGTGAAGGTGTTTTTCCATCATACTCCAGATAGTTTCATGGTGTTCTTTGGGACAAAATTTTGGTGATTGTATAACACCATCAAACGGAAATTGAGCCCCAAGTTCAGATAATAGGTTGAACAAAGAATTTCTAGGTGTTCTATCACTTGCTAACCATGACATTAAGGCCCTTTTTATATGCCACTTACACAATTGAATTTTGATATTATTCTAGGTAAAATGCGTAGCGTTAATTTGCACGAAATCCTTATCTGTAAGAAGAAATTCTGGCTGAATTCCTTTATCATACAATTTTGTAAGAAAGGCCTGAATAACTGTGGTATATGTTCCTTCACCACAATTTCTACTATTTTCTAAGAATAAATATGCTAGTAGGAATTCTATACCATTTATCTCTGCCTGAAAACAATAGAGTTCTATCTTGAAATTATTGGTGTTATCTAAATATTATTTACAAATTACAATATTAATAGCAAATTTTATTAATTTTATATAGATTAAACCATTTTTGATCAACTCATAGACAATCACTTCAAAGGTATCATATTTCATCAACACTCATCAATTTACAGAATAGTTTATTTTATAGACAGTATATTTCACTGACAGCTCATTTCACAGACGAAATAATTCTAGTTATTATCATAAAGCTTAGACTTTGGAATTAGAATTGGGGTTAGCGTGATTTATTAAAAAACTTGTCTGTGAGATGAACTTTTGGTAAAATATACTGTTTACAAAATAAATTCTGTAAAATTGAGAAGTGTGTTAATAACTTGAAGTGATTGTTGGTGAAATAATATGGACTCATGCAGTAGGTTTATAAAAATTTTTTTAAATACATTCTTATTTATCAAAGTATTTTTGTTAGTGTATTATGGTATATCAGATTTGTGCTATTTAAAAAATGCTTATAAATATTACTCAGTTGATATTTAATTGTATTTTAAATAATACTTATGAAGCATTAATTTAATTTTTACAGCATTAACTAGAAAGATATAAAGAAGTTACTTACAGGTTGCATCGATTCCACATTCACGAATATTGACATTTTTTTGAAGTAGATATTCATAAAGCTCTGTCATGAAGGCTAAAGCACGAACAGGTTGTGTTTCCTCCAAAATTAATTTAAATTTATATTGACCTTCTTTTAGCCAAAGTAGTGCTGAGCTAAATGCATTATTTTGACGTTTATATCTACTTTGCCCTAATTCTACCCACCAGGAATAGATTTGCTTTTGCCGAATTAATGGATTAAGGCCACTATCAATAAGCCGGAGTAAATTTTCCATGATAATAAGTCAATATTTTTTGCAATGAATTCTTTCACGTCTTGAGGCACAGTTATATCCTTTGGTTGTGCATGTATTAACTTATGATTTAGCATTAATTTTGCTTTATTAGTTGATTTATTAATGGTGACTTTTATGGTGCCATCACAATCAAAGCGCTCTATTGATGGTATGTCACGGTGTTTTGAAGAATCCTCATATTTTTTTGGTTTTTCTGCCAAAATTTTCGATTGCGAGCAAAAATACCAATACGTGATGTGTATCTACCTATATATAAGTAATGATAACTTTAAAAAGTTATTGAATCAGTACAAGATTAAACGGTAAAGTTAGTTAGGATTATACATGCTATAGAAATTATTTTAGCATATTTCGGCATCGATTTTTGATATAAAACCGCTTGAGGTGCCTCAGCGATTTCAAATCAAAAATCGATGCCGAAATAATTTTTGTAGCATTGTATAGTTATAATTGAATTTAAAGATTTTAATTTTATGTGTTTTAAATTCTATTATAACTTTTACGTTGAACTTTATAAATGATTCATACATCCATGAATATTCGTCCATATTTTCAATTAATTCTACTAACTCCTTTGCAACTTCTTTCCCAATTTATCAAATATTGACAAATCTATTTCACATTGAAAATGTACTGGAGGCGCATTCTCTATGTTATTACCAAACTTTTCTAAATGCTCATTTAAAATTTGCACAATATGGTCAGAAAGGTTAGTCAGATCAATTAATTCTAAAACATCCAAATCTTCCTAGTCTTCATTTCTTCAACCTCTAATTGTCTTTTTTTAGTTTTTTGGTAATATTTAGCTTCTTGGTTATGACAATCACTACATGTGTTAGATGGTTTAGTGGTGTCTTTTGCACCAGCCATTACGAATTCGCTAATAGGCTTTACACCTGAACATCTAGTACATTCTAAAGTTTCCATTGTAGTAATTATTAAAAAATTATAAAGTTATTCAATTTTACAATGTGGTTTTATAATTTGATGTTTTATTTAAGCTTTGTATTAAACCGTTTTTGATAGTTATCTTTATTTTACAATGTTTTTAATGAGAATTGACTCTTAGATCATAAAATTTCAATATGATTTCTTGAGGTTTATATAATTGCGAGGCAAACTTAAATTGAAATCTTCTAAGCCGAAATGCATATAAGCTTCTCAAACTATAAAGCCACGATTTCAGTTTGTCAAGTTTATTTTGTGAACAGCTGTTCTTAATTTTACTTAATGGCTCTAATTGCTTATAGTTGATACGGTTGATAAATATATGTGCTTGAATTATACGTTATTATGTGACTTTATTATAAGGACAGAATCCAATTATTTAGAGCTAATATTGAATGTATAAATATAGCCATGATTAATAACAACTAATTTTATAAAGG